TGGTACCAGACTCGTTGATAACAAGAGAAAAGCTAGCTAAAATGCCAGAACTGTTCTTCCAGCTCTGCACAACTGAGGGGATTTAAGAGAACTTCAGGAAAATAGCCCAAGCTCTTTCCAGGAGTAGTAGCTAATGAGTAGGCTGGTATTGAATCCAAAGAAGCCCATGAACCATGACAACTTCAGCAGGGTTTGACATGTGTTGCGTGAAGGACCCTCTACTGCAAGGCTTATCAGGTGGGTAACGGCTCAGCTGCAGTCTGAGTATAAGGTCTAATAACTCATCCAGCATGTCAGATTACATATTGCTGGATCTCAGCATTCTCCAAGTACTTATCAGTCCTGGTAGAGATTTATTTTAAGAGGAATGAGTACGCATTCATTTATTAGATATACTGTGGCAACAAGTGATTTTGTTCTGAACAGTTTCGGGTAATCTCAATAAAAAACAAAATTTAAGTCTGACTACAAAGTGCCCTGAATCTAACCCACATACACTGTGCTTAGTTCCCCAGCCAGCTAACTCAGACGTGACACATCAAGGCAGTTCAGCTTGCCTTACTACCCTGTGTACCATGGAGTCAACGCCTGGGTGGAAGATTTATGACCGCTGCATGTGGAAAAATAGCAGTCAACAGACACTCACTTGAATAAGTGCAGGAACACATCTGAACAGTCTCATGACAGAGGACTTCCCTTTAGGTCCATTTCTGAGTCGTCTTTGAAGACAGGTACTAAATGCTGATGAACATCTACACAGCACCCTAGTGGTTAGCACACTTGCTTGGGAAACGTTGGGGGCTTTCACACAAAAAAAGACAATAAATGTGATTGCTTATTCCTTATTTTCTAAAGATACCAATGCTAAAAATGTGTAAACTGCTCCTAGCATGCTGACCATAACCCTGATCTCTCCCTTCCTAGGGGAGTTTCCTATCAGGACGTTGAAGAATCAGACTACCATTACCTCCCCCTATCCGGTTTAATAAACCTTTGTACTCATTTCCCCAAGGAGACCACAGGAGGCATGTTTTGTAGGTAGTAAAACATGGGCAGTTGGAAAGTCCTTGGTTTCTTAGCAACAACTAAAACCACCAGTATACTATCAACATTCTTCTCGTGTTTCTTCTCATCCCAAATCCCATACTGAATCCAAACCACAGGGCTACTCTAGCTACTAAAGAGAAAATTAGCTCTGGCACAGAAAAACCAGGACAGTTTTGGCCTCTCATTACCCATTCAGGGCACGTTGGAACACAGGTCCTACAACTTGTACAGAGACGCCCTACAAGAAAAATGGTGTAACTTGATCATAAAACAAGCGTAAGTGACAAAGTAACATCATTTCTATTGATTTGCTTTCCAAAGCAGGATGCAGCTGTGAAACTGTGATGATTTTATATGCTGCCCCTATGAGCACAGCAGCTACCACTGCTTACTGAGGCAGTGAGCCATGGAAGCCAGCCACCGCTTTTTCTTTCTAGACACGTGGTAACAGGAGGTCACAAAAGTGTTCCGAAGAAGTCATGGATCCAGGTTGAAGGGCCAGTAGTCTGTTGGCAAAGTCTACTGGCAAAACGTGTGCTCTTAACAAGGCAATCATCTCACTTTGTTGTGGAGGGACTTCTAGCACGAGTTGCTGTCAGGTGTGTTTCTATGGTTAAAAACCTGCACTCAACACCACCCAGTGCAAAAACTTGCATGTCACCCTGTTTGAATACATTTGAATAAAATGGCAACTGCACAGGCTGCTGAGGAGGAGATGTAAGCCAGTAGCAGAAAGCTGTAGCTTTACCAAATAATTCTCAGTTTTTACCATACCTCATTTTAGAACCAAACAGTGGAAGCAGTGATAGATTTTAAGCTACTGCCTTTTCATTAATGTGAGTGTGTCCTGTAATAATTTGTAAGGTGAAAATTTCTGTACCGATACACTTGTGTATGTTCACCCTAAGGGTCTGTACAAAAACCTGACCAGCAAAATGCACGTGCTACACAGAAAAGAAAAAGCAACGTGTGAGTAGTTTGCTCAGTCTGATATTCTGATACAGGTCTGATATTCGAAACTGTAGATAGCTACTTTTTAGTAAGCTCTTCATACAGGGTGCTAAATAAGCACATATACACACACATGCACAGAGTGTGCTCCCTATGTTCACATTCCAGGTCTAAAACTCACACTACAAACTTCAGATGGAACTCCAACCTTCAACCCGTGTCTCTTTTCCAGCCGAAAGTCTCCTCTGGATGTGCAGTAGTTCAATACCTGTAATCAACTTCCAGCATTCCTTGGGGGTGAATCATAGACTTTAATTTTAAAATCTTCCATCTGAAGTACATAAAGACTATAGATATACGTGGCTGTGCACACTACTTACCATAACTACTGATCCAAAAGCAAAACTTGACAATAACTCTGAAGTTACTTCCTCAGGCTGGCCAGGATGGAGTTGCCTGTTCAATGTCCCCCATTAAACGTTTCCAACACTTTGAGTGTTCAACCTTTAGTCCTTAGCTCCCCAGTTGACAATAAAGAAAGTATAACCAAATAATATCCAGATTTCTTTATACATGCTGTTTCCTAGTGCACATTCAGCAAGCTACCCAGAGAAGCTGCAAACAAACACCCCAACTTCTATTTTGGCTTACACCACATTGCCCCTGGTATATGCACCAGAACGCCAGCACCACAATTCAAGGGAAACTCAACTTTTTTTCAGTGGTTTTGGCAACTGAAATATTGCTGGACACATCTTGCTTGCAAAGGGATGATAAGATTTTTTTTTTAAATCATATCTGATCAAAATAAATTAACTTTAATCTCTTGATATATGAGAAAGCCACTGACTACATACAGTGCCCCTTTTTTGGAACTGTTCTTAAAAACATAATGAAGGCAACACGGCATAGGAGAGTTGCCACTGCTAACGTGGCATCACTGCCACTGATGACCAGCTGCTGTATAAAAATTACTTTGCTCTTAAGGAGAAAGGGAATGTGTCTCCTCCTTTAACCATCAGTTGCAAAATCTACCATGAACAGAAGTCAAGCTTTTCTCTGCTTGGAAGAAATGTATAACAGACTCCCATAACAGGTTACCAGCTTGGAGGATGGGAATTTTTTCTAGTAAGGAATAACAAAAAAAGTGTATCCAATTATATAATCCCATTTTAGGAGAAAGGCTAATTGGACACTTACAGCTTCCTTTACTTCTGTTTCCATACACGAGCAGGAACTCTATCACTTTCAATTCCTGTGTATAACTATTTTATTGAAAAGAGCACTGGAATTTGACGAGACACGGAATAAATCAGAAATTACAAAACAGCATGAAATTCTGTTACGATGGTCCTTCTGCTGTGGTGATACTGTTATCAAGGAGGGCTGTTAAGTGAAGGAAGGTACATGCTGAAATACACAAGACATGATTTATTGAGAAAGTTTATTTAACTGGTTTACAGGTTGCACCTACCTCTTTGTTAAAAAAGCTCTTTATCAACTTAAAAAATTACCAGAGCCGAAGTATAATATACAGATTTGGAAATTTCTCAACTGATCCTCAAGTATCAGTCTCTCTTATTCCCCTCTCCTATTTGAAAACTTCCTTCTTGTCTTTAGCAGACAAAAGTGCAAATATAATACTACATACCCATTGCACTGACAGACCCTGTTTTCAACAGCATTAATGCCAAGGCTTTTCCATGCTCCAGCAAAGCAGGCACTCAGTGACATTTTAATGGTTTTGAAAAAGGAAAATACGAGGAGGTTTTACACGAGAGTTTTTGATGGAGAAAAAGACAGATATTATTGAAATAAAATTGTAGATTACTGTTTTGCTAATATATCTGACCAAAAATTTACCTTCATTCAGTACTTCTTTCCAGGTACTTTGGTACTGAACTATCTACAGTAGCACTATGACAAGTAAGTGCAGCTTCTTTCGAAGACATGGTTTATACAGGTGTATTATCAACAGAATAATGGTACAGTTCAAGTATTTTCCTTTCAAGTTACCACTGAGTTGTAACCATTTGAGAGAATTTTACTCACCCTTTAATACGTACCTCCAACCTATTTGCACATAACAGATGTCTAGAACTTACAGTGACTTGATCACAGCAAATCAGGTTTTGAATATGTGGCAATGTAAGCAAGATAACTGCTTATCTAGATAACTTTGTATCCTGCAGTGCTGAGTAAATCTGATTTATAATGGACATTCTCATTTAAATATAGACACTGCAAAATATTACAGCTCTTCATAGGTGAGGAACACTTGTTCTTAGTTTTCATAATTTTAAAGCTTGCTATTTTGCTGGAACTGAGACACCAAGGAAAGAACCTGCTCTGAGGCTTTAATTTGTTTAGTCCCCAAGTACGCTGCACTATTACTGGCTGTATCCTCTAAGAAATATCGGTAGTTTACCATCATGCCACAAGAAGCAGTAATGCCCCGAGGGCTTGTGTCCGCCATCCAGTTTATCCGCCACATCACAGAGCCATTCTGAAGATGAAAATTTGCTACTGGATTAAGAGCATAGCCACGATGTTTCTCTCCATATAAATACCAGGCACAGAGTCTCATAAGTGGTGACTGGAGCACTTTAACTAATTTTTCTGATCTCACCCACTCGTTGTTATTTAAGAGTTTCTTTAGTGTTTCAGTAGTAGAGTCTCCTGTGATTTCAGAGACTTCTTGCCTTTCTGATTCTGTAAAAAGTTCATTTCTTTCCAGTTCTTTTGTTTGTGAGGAGAGGAGACCAATAAGCCATTTTGTGAATCCCGGGATAGGTGAAAGAGTAGAAAAAGCTTTTATCTGAGGAAGTTCTTTCTGCAGACAAAAGGAGAGAAAAACAATTCATGAGTTTTGTCATGATTGACAACGAGAAGTTCGAGTGAAAGAATAGCTGATACCCTTTACCTCATGTCAAGCAAAAGACTAGGGATTCTGAGAATTAACTGATACATGTAGACAAAAAAAAATAAAATCACCCTGCCAGTAATAGGTTAGTGACTAGAAAGCACTTGGAGCATGAAGAAAATTTCAATACTGACTGAATTACAGTCCACATACACAAGCTACATAAAAGTACTTACGCAGTACTAACCATCACTGCATTCTCTTATATCATCTTATAGGCAGAAATAAACAAATACAATTGTATGCCATAAAGAAGTTATTTAGAGGAATATATTTTTTTTTAAATAAACATACAAATTTCCAAAACCTTTTAAATATATATTTTTTTTTCATATGTAACTGTCTTTTTCTAAATCAAGGGCAGTTTATTATTTCAGCCTATTGGTAAAATCCAGAGAGATACGAGTTCTAGATTTCAACAGAAAGAAGTACTTCCTGAAGTTCTGAAAGAGGTTCTTTATAAAGGCAGGCTACTTTTCATGCTGTTCCAAAACTATTAACTACCCTGATAAAAGAGCAGGATAAGAAATATATACTGGTAGTAAAAAAATTAATCACACAGTTTAATACTTGTTTTAACACAATAAAACTTCTTCTCTACTCCTACTAATTGATGAGTAAACAGTGTGAACTACGTAACCATGTAAAGCAAAACATACATAAGGAAAACTGTGTTAGTTTAGGGGCACGCCAATGTGAAGAATAGAGAAGGTTGTTAAACTCACTGTCACTTGGTACTAAAATTACATCAGTCAACCCTGCTGAAGAAGCAGAAGGGTTAGGGAACAGAGGGAAGATGGAGCTGAATCGAAACAACCACAGCATTGTTTTAATTACTGTTCATATAGGAAGCAGTGGTAAGAACCGAGACATTTATCAACACTACAGAGCATCTTAATGTCAACAGAAAATTGTCTTTAAATGACTACAAAACACATTTTTTCTACTTTGAGTATTACCCAGATAACCATTAAAAAGTCATCATCGCTCGGATGCTACCTAACACCAGCAAATGTTAATGGAACGCGTGCTGCTAGGCTGTCTGAACTGCACCTGCGCCGCTGCATCCTCAGGTACTGCTGTGCTCTGCACAACGCTGCCATCTGCGTTCTGCTTCACGAGGATGCAGGAGCCAGGGCCTGGCATACCTCTGTTACAAACTGGAGCATTAAGCCAACACCATTTCTAACAATTTGGTTAACTGGGATAATATTCAGCTGGTTATTTACAACTTCTTTTTCCTTCCTACACAGAGCTTCCCAAATAGCTTACTGCTGTTCTGTTGGCTTCCAGCACCACGATACACACAGCCGGCTCAGATCTACCACCTCTTCAGTTCTGTGACGCAAAATTGCATGAACTGGATAACCTCATTTGCTCCCCTTATCTGAAGTTCTCTGACTATTACGCAGATATGTAAGTCAAAGAATTCTTCTTTTGGGACCAGACAGAACAAGAAAGGTAGACTGAGTTATGAAGAAAAACCTCATTTCATCTCCTTAGAGACCTGGATAATGAAAAAAGGAAATTATTTTACAAAAAAACTTCTTACTGAACAAAACAACCATATTTGTAATCAGAGAGACCAGGAGATCCTGGCTGTCATATACTCAACTGCTATAGCTACCAGGATCAGATAGCACAATTCTAGTAGAGCGTTGATCTCCTGGGACTTTTCCAAGTCACCAGTCAAGGACAGGATGGTTTCTTTTTAAGGGTAATTCTGAAGTGTAAGTCTAGAAAAAGATCTGTGAAATACAAGTATCAGGTTTCATCGCATATGCATTTCATAAAAGAAAAAATATTCTTTGTAAATCTATGGAAAGAGATGTCTGTGGAAGGCAATTTCTGCTGGTATCTTAGCACCTCTTTGTACAATTTTACAGCATACGGCATTTATAAAACAAAATAAGTTTATTAGGGTTGTGCTTTTATTGCAGACCTTGGCTACAAGAAGCATGGATATAGAAAATACATTTTAATTAAAATAATGTTTCTTGGAATAGACAGTTCAGCCTTTTAAGAAAAGTTTCTCCTCTGCTTTTGAAAAACAGAGCAATGACCACAGTAAATTAAAAAAAAAATATTTGGGGGCAGTAAAAGGGCAAAAATGAGAACAGAAAAAGGCAAATCCATAGCAAAAATCTTTCCCTTCCCAACCCCATGCTTAATACTTCCCCACGGACACGAGGACTATTTATCCACAAACCAATTCAAAATAACTTTATAAAATTTGAATACAGAATCAAATGCACTCACTAAATCTTCCTTTGACCACTTTTCATCTGCCTCTTTGTAGTGTTTTTTAATCAAATAATATACCTAATCATCACATCTGGGCACTTCTCTTTAAAGTAGCAGGATCTTAGTTAGTATGGTAGAGGAGAGTTGTGCTCAGATGCCCCCTTGCCAAGTACACTTTCCTTGGTTCAACACTAGCTCCCAACAAAGACAACACACCTAGCACAAAACCACAGATCTCCTGCAAAAGGAGAAGGAAGAAAGATGGCACAGAAATTAATTTTTAAAGGCTACTGGAAATATACTTCAAGATATTTGTTGCTGGAGAAAAAGCTGACAGCTTTCAGTTTTGTCAAGATGGTGATGAGCAGCTTCACTTGCTACGTTCATTTCTCCATCAGCACACTGAAAGCTGACCAGTGGTGACGCTACTGTGACCAGCTGGAGCTGAGCTGCTGAGCCAGTCTGCAGTCAGGTTATCTGACCTTTTGCATGTCAGCTCTTATGGTGGCTAGATGAAAATCTGCCCAGAAGGGAGGGCCACAACTCCCTTCTGCAGATTCAATGACCCAGCACCTTCTGCCTGTCCACACAATAATGATGGATGACAACTCCGCAACTGTCTGGGGTGTGACAGACCTGCAAATGAACCTTAAGGTACAGAAACACAACCCTGGAATAATGAGAAGTACATTTTCACGTCAGCATCCTTAAGCAGCTCCCCCCAAAAGACACTGGATTTCCAAATGGGATTTCATTCTTCTATGTCTTCATTCCCTGTTGTTCTTTAAAGTTCATCTTTAGTCCACAGCACAGGGAACACAAGAGATAGGGATGAATTGGTAAAAGTTTTCAAATTAATGACCTATCAATGAGAAATCACAGATGTGCTGCTAGAGGGAGTACAGATGTTACTATTGTGTAGTGCGGGTGAAAAAGAAGGGGGAAAAAAAAGAGAAAAAGAAAAATGTTTATAGAGGCTATTTTCCTCTAGGTAGGGATTCAAGGAATACGGATATGTTTCTTTTTGACCTGAAGATGGGATTAAATTCCTTAAAGGTGTTCTTTTTTTTTCTAACTACATTATTCATCCTATAAAAGATAGTGCCTTTGAGAACATGTTGCTTAGGTCTCTTTCATGAATTGGTCACAGATGTTTGGGGTTAAAACCTGAGAGGGGAGGAATGAAGGTAATACTGAAATTTGAGAAGCAGAAATTTTTCTTTCAGGTAAAAGGAAAAACTGATTGGACCAAGAGAAAAGGCTGCTTGCCACAAAGCCAAGTGTGGAAGTCTTCTGCACTATCTCTACTAAGAAAGCACAGTGTTTGAAAATACTGTTTTGGTACGGCATAGTGCTAACAAAAGGGGCTTGTCACACAGGAGCTAAGCCATGCCCACTGCTTCCACAGGGTAACAAGTCCAACCTCATCTCCCAGCTTGCAAAGCTGAGAGGGTACCGATGCACCATCCACAATGACCAAAGTGAAAATGAACAATTTCTTCCCATATTTGTGTATTAATAATAACCACTGCAAAGTTCCCAATTAAGTCACTGACATTTTGCTTTCTTGTGATGTTGCCTGCTCTTTGCTTATCATTCACTTTCAGGAGTGACCTGTTCACCAAGCCCAACCCAAAATATGTATCAGCAAGTTAGTAGCTCCTTCTCTGTTAATAAATACAACAAGGGAAATCATGCATATTTTCTACTTCTTGACAGATAAGACATGGAAAAGTGACCCCACTTTGATGTTACAGTACAGGCTACTACATATCTGATAAAATGCCTGAGTTTAGAAGCTTATTTGAGGCAGACATTTCATGCAGAAAAATAAATAGATGCAGCAAAGTGTGCACATTTATGTTGTTGCTAAATTGATGCACTAGTTTCTAGGGCTATTGGTGGAGATCCATTAATGTTTATTTTCTTGTCAGAAATCCACACACCATTAAGAAACAGCTGCTCATTTTGTTTTTGGGGTAGATTTCTGGGTTTGGTTGTCTTTTAGTTTTTGTTTGGTTTTTTTTTTTTTTCAATGCAGAAGAGCACAGATTTTTCCTATTATCTATATCTCATCTGAAACTGTCTTGCACTCTGAAAGCTGTAGTTCAAGGTCACATTTTTCATCAATGAAAGCAAAGCCTGTTTTGGAAATTATGATCTCCCCAGGTCACCTAGATCAAATTAAGGTAGCAATCATCAACAGCCCAACCAGAAAAGCAAAATCTGCCACCAATTGTTAAGCGTTCTACTGAGTCACATAGTCACTATCAGTTTTCTCCCCCAAATGCCACAGGCTATAAAATTCTAAGCAGTTTTCTCAAAGGCTTCACCACAGTTATCTGTGTCTGTCATCTGCAGACTGAATTGCTATGATGTACCTTCTGCAGAGCTACAGACCATTCACAGTGGTTATAAACACATTCTGAATTAAATGTCTGTCTAATGAGAAATCTGTCTGTCTGCACATCCACCAGCACCTATCAGCTTGCTAGAAATGCATCTGCCTGCTTGTTTTCCAGCACCCAATTTGGGGTTTGTTTTTTTTTCTTACTAGTTGTCTGATATTGTTTCTGAATTCATTTCTGGGAACAATACAAGCTTAAATTTAAGAAATACAAGAGATTATTTCTGTTGTTTCCTACCTGCTTTATATATATTAACATAACCAAGAGACTACACAGAATGCGTAGGTAGCCTGTTCTCAGATTTGTACAGGGAGAACTGAGACCAAAGCGGTATCAGTGGACTAATGAATTCATCCCACTACTTGCTGAAAATACTCCAAATAGGAGATGCTCAGGTAACAATAGAACCCTGTTTACAACACCCTTTTATATGATTTGTGTAGCAAACTTTTGTCAAGCAGCTACCACAAAAAGAAAAATCTCCTATTTAGAGCAGCACACTTTCTCCCAGGATGCCCTTCGTACGCGACACAAGCTCCATCCCAAGGGTCCTATTCTGATCTCCATTATATCCCTCCCCTTTACCCAATGACATTACAATACCTGTGGTAAATGCCAAACCGTAATGTCTAGGTAGAGATTAAGGATTCAAACCGCTAACTGTGCACATAAAGAGATGAAACTGAGGACCCATTTCTGTGACTCAAATTCATACATCCTCCAGCTGCTTAAATTAGTGGAAGAGTCAAAAGCAGGGGCCATTAACTTCTATGCAGTGCCTCAAACTAACAGCGTTTGTAATCTTCACCAGAGCCTCTACTGCTGCAGTTTTCCTAATGGTCCTAATAAAACCCCACTTGCAAGGAATACTTCCATGAGGGAATGTGTACTTGACATTCTTTGAAGGTGAGAAGTGCTACCCTACACTTGCTCATGTTCAGCAGTGTATGTGACCAGTTCAGGTGAATTAGCAAGAAGATTTCTATAAAAATTAAGCTCTATCTTAATTGTCCATTAATGAGTTAAGGAATCCGGTACTGACTGAATTTATAGACATAACTTTATAGTGCTACTTGATAGATCAATGTTGCAGTACAGTTTTAAAAAATCTTGCCAAATAAAAGCTTCAATGGCGGGAAAAAAGAGTGGCTATTAGCATACTTCTAACTTAGTGCATGTCTTTTTCTGATCTAATGATATACATTCATCACAGGTCCAATTTGGAGTTTTCCTTATGAAGAATGACAGCTGAGAATTTAGTTTTGTGGTTACAAAGGCACTTCCAAGTAGAAGTGTCAGAGCAGGTTAAGTTAAGGCAAGGTCAGATAAATTATTTTTACCAGAGGATAAAAGAGTTTTAAGAGTTTGCAGTGCCTTGGGAAAATATGAATCAAATAACATTCTCCAGATCAAACAGATGCCCACAAGTGGGCAAACAAATGGTGAGTTAAAAAAGTGTATTAGCCATCAATGATTCAAATGTAATGAAAAACAAAATCCTCAACCCCTCCAAATGGTCTCCTCTTCCCAAAGCATCCTATTAACAGTTAAATTAAAGAGAGTCTCAACTTATGTAACCTGGACTACTTGGTGATTTAGCAGCACTTTAAATAAAGATTGTTTATTGCAAAGCCATGCGAAGGTTATATAAAAAAATCCTCTTCCTGTCAGACACCTCAACTATCTATTTCTACAAAGGCTGCTGGAAGCTTGCTTAATGAGATGTAATTTTTGACCCAAGATTTATTTGCTGAGGCTATAGTTTCAGCTGCTGTCACCAAGTCAACTCAGCACTACCGCTGTACCATTTGTCCCTTTTAAATAAGTGACTATAATGCTGCTCCAAAAAATTACGTCCAACCTGCACACAGACAACCTTGGAAAGTCCTTTGCTTATACCTGACCAGAGAGAAAGAGAGCACATGTGTGCAATTAATGCACTGAAGTAGGACTTGGAGAATTTTGGGAGACAGGTAAGACAGGCTGCCAAGAGTATAACTCACCATATGCCCTGCCTTTGCCCTGAACGGTCTAATTTTGTAGAAATTTCACAGTGGAAGTATTTTGAAGCTGAAATACACAGGGTTTCTCTCCACCGAAAGGTGAAGTCCACTGAGATGGGAGTCACAACACTTCCAAAAAAAGCTGAATGACTAGTGCATCAAATAATTCTGGTAACAGTGTGATGATGTAGGGTCACTTCACAGATGTAAAATAAGTTATTCAAGGTTGAGGCAATAATTTTGTGATTAGAATGTATTTACAGGCATCTCAGCCAAAGTGTTTCCTATTCATCATGTGTTTGATGAACACTGAAGAAAGGCTGGATTTTACAACATTGAAGTGAACTTTGCCGTAAGTATAAATAAGAAACACTTTATTCTATTGGACACATCAAATTTTGGAACTTGCACATAGGTTATCCAAGTATGGTACGTCTATCTTCCTTTATAACTCACTCGTAACTTTTCTAGTGTTGTAAGCCATTTAGTGATGGACAAACACATTGTCAATTAGGTTATTTTATGAGAGCAACTCGATTATGCAGAAATTATTTTTCAGATGTGAAAACAGATAACTGCATGAATTTATTCCACTCTGCCCTCAGTCAAGATCAGACAGATGGCACAGCTTAATTATACCTGGACTACTGCACTTTAGACAATTAATCTAAAAGCCATTCCAAAAGCAAAAAGCAACAAAATTCAGCCAAAATATCCATTAAAAATAAAATAAAATAATAAACTTCAGGGCAGCCAGCTATGATTCAGTAGTTGACTAATCAATAATTTTGTAGTAGTAGAAATCTGGTGCATCCAATTTTAAGTTATTTTTGTAAGTAGAACTGAAGTTCCAAATCTCAGACAATTTTCTAGACATCATTACTAATCCAGATGTTGGAACAATGAACATAAACACAAGTAGTGATCATTACTTTTAAGTGGTAGCTTTGTCAATAACTTAAGTAGTAAAGACTACTAAATAAAATAATGTCCTCAACACAGAAATCTGACTGTCTCTTTCACACCATTTGTATATAAATTAATGAATTTTCATTCCTTTCTCCAGTTACTCGGAAGAAGGTTCTACAAGAAGAAGTCCTAAAACGGTTAACAATAACCCCACAGTATACAATGATATGATACAAATTCATAGAACTGACCTGCATAAAGTAATTGATTACGGTGACTTTCAAATGTTAAAGACATCTTCTCTACTATATTGCAAGAAATGCCTGGGCAGAGAAATATCTCTTTTTTTTTTTTTTTTTTTTAAATAGACATAATCAAGGCAAGCATGCAAACTGTATACAGAACCAGTGTCAATATAACAAACAAGAAAACAAAGCAATTAACGTACAGGAAGTATTTGTGTCACTGGAGCAGCTGGGAGATTTTGAAAAAGCAACAGTCTGGTACCCTGAAGAGCTAAAATGTTGATCAGGGCCCTGGAAGGGAGCCTGTTAGCTGGTTCCGCCCACTCAACCAGGAGACAGTAGTGACTCATATACACTACATTGCAAAATACAGCTATTATGAAAGCTACCTTCAACAGAAATGTACTCATTTGACTTTTAAGCAACCTATGCACATGGTTATTAAGCAAACACAAGCCATCCATGCAGTACATGTCAACTAGGTAACAGTATCTACATCGGGCAAACATCAAACAACATCAGAAAATGTTCTTCCAGCTCCTGACACACCTTCAAAGCTGATCTGGTAAGAATCTACAACTGTAGGGGAAGACACAGTAGCTCCTTGCCTTGAGCAACAACACAAATGGAAACTAAACCAGCAATGAAAGGGGAGAACCTTGGCCAAACAGCATCTTCAGTACACCCTGCCACACTTACCTGAAGCTCTTTTACAACTCGTTTGATGAGGTAAGTCCCAAGATCCACACCTTGCAGTCCCTGCTGGGTCAAACTGATTGAGTAGAAAATTGCTGTTGTAATTTCAGCTGTATCTTCTGTTTCTAAAGGTGGCACTTCTTTCACTATGGCCTGGGAAAATAATAATTTAAAAAAAAGTTAGCAGTAGTTATTATCATCGTTATGGGAGAGGGGGCCTTTCTTATTAACTTTCAAATGTGTTAACACTTTTCCCCATTGTTTTCTTCATTATCGTCTCTGAGAAACAACAAAAATCTAATCAAAAAGTAGAAAGAAGAGCTGCTTATCCAGGAAATAATTGTAATGTGGTTTAAAATTTTCAGAAGTAATCATAACCGCTTTGATGATTTAATCTCATTTGCTGTCTTTTCTTACAGGTTTCTTATCTTTTCTTATTCTTCTTGCACTTGAGCAAACCCCCAAAATTTCAACTTACATAATACAGGAGATATACAGAATACCCCTGTAATTTTTAAGTGCCAGTTCTCCCATCCCTTAAAAAAATGAAACAAAACCAAACATTCCCAAATTATAAGGAATTACAGATTTTAAAAGAAGTACATTGCAATTTGAGCACTTTGTTGCATACTAAATGCATCAGTGACTGTACCTGGATGCTGCTGGAGATATCACTGGTTAGTGCAACATGCAAGACTATCAGTGGTTCTCCTGGGATTGCACAGTGAGAAAAAAAGTAGCATCTTCTATATGACCCAACTCGACGCTTCATATCAACCCAGTTTCTAACAGGATGCACAGCTTCAGAACTCAATGAGAAAAAAAAACAAATAAAAGTAAAATTATATATTTTTTTTTCAATTAAAAATAGGGGTCAGCTGCCAACCTGAGAATCTCAGTACTTTTCCCATTGATATCAGTGACAAAACTCTCCAATCAAGGAGAATCAAACTGTAAGTGAAAAAAGTAAAATTCAACAGCAAACTGTGACAAAGTAGATTGTAAAGGTGTACTGCATACCCGCTCTCTCTAGTTTTCTTTAGGATATGCTTATTACGTACCTGAGATTTCACTTGCACTTCGAAGAGTAACTGAGAAGGTTGGGAGAAAAGACAGCAGTCTCAAAATGCAGTATGGGAGCTAAAGGATCAAATTATGGGACAAACGATCCTTTTCACCATTTACTTAATTCAGTTTTTAAAGCATGCTCTTTAGTGTGTTAAATGCAACTATTCCTTAATTACACTTTGCCTATGGTTCACTACTGAAAAGCAGTATCTTGAAAATAGTGGATCTGTGCAGTCACAAGGATTTCATTACCTTTGCACCAATAAGTGTTAGCAAATTTTAGCACTTACTCACTAATTTTCTGGAGTACTTCACAAGGTGATTGCCAAGTGACCCGTTCCAAGTTTAGGAATCCTGTCGAGAACCACTCTGACAGCATGTTCTTCAGAACACCATTCATTTCCTGCAAACAGAAGAAAGATGAACTTATCTGCTTAATAAACTACGTACAACCTAAGAACATGAGTAAAGACAACCTTGATTATTTCAAACTACAACACTAGGAAGTTCAAGAAAACTAATGCATCTGTTTGAGAAGATTAACCACGTAATAGTTCTGCTTTCCTCATACAGGACTAAACCAATGAAAATGTTTAGACACTGTCCGTAGTAACAGGACAGTCAAGAACTTTCCAGCTTCTCTGCTGTGCCAGTGTCTGCAGGGGCAGGAGAAGCTGGGAGGGAGCACAGCCCCAGTTCCTAGCCTAGGATTTGACCTTAGGTTTAGGATTGAGACCCCAACTGGCCAGTAGTCTATTCCATATCATGCATGGCATGCCCAGTATACAGGTGAGGGTCTGTCTGGAAGTTCACTCTCTCCCTCTGGTTTGCCCCTCTCTTGGCATTGTCTCGCTCTCTCAGTTGGCTCTTGGTCTCCTGGATGCTCAGGCTCTTATCTTTTCAAGGGCTGTGGTTTCGGGAGTCTTTCTGCTCTGGGATCATTAGCCAGGAATGGGCTGAGCCTTGGTCATTGGGGGGTGAGCAGTTTCACGGTGTATCAGTCATTTGTTTATTTGTATATAGTAATATTATTATCACCATTATTATTTTCAATTTTATCATAGTTTAGTTATTAAATAGTTCTTAACTCAACCCCTGAATCTCTTTTCCCTTTACCCCTTTAATTCTCTCCCCCATCCCCAGGAGGGCGGATGGTAAGCAAGCGGCTGCGTGGTGTTCGCTGATCGCTGGGTTCAAAACCACAACAGCTAGTTTAAAAAAAAGTTGTTAAATGAACACGAAACTGAAATAATACAAACAAAATGCACCTTAAGTACATTTATAGGGTAAGCACTCCCCACTGGAAAACCATGGAAGCCACATAATGCATGACACCTCTGAATAAAACATACATGTGCAACTATCTGCAACAAGCACCACTGAAGAACTGAGAGAAATGAAGGATCACACTAAACGAAATCCACCTGAGGAAGCGATGGTCTTCACAATTTTCCACTGATGCTTTGATGAAAATGTTCCTGCCTTCTCTGTCTCACGGGAACACTATCCTACACACCAGCAGCTGGGGGAGGGGAAAGTAATGTAACAGATGACAGCAAAAAGGACCAGATTTGCTACGTCAAAACTTAGCAATTAGAACAGTTAAGAGGGACATACACGGTATACCTCCCCCTGCCTAATAAGTGGATCTATGTGATTTAGGGGGCTTATGGGACACGTGTGTTAAATGTATGCTGCCTTACTACCTCAAAAGAGCAGACTATTTATGTAACGTGACATTACTGTCAAAAATACATAATTACTGTTGGCTCGGGGCACTTCAACACTTGATGCACTCTGATAATACATCACTCGACTGCATTTAGAGTAGCTGGAATCTATACTGACAAAACTGTTTTTGCTGATGCTTCTGGGCTAGAAGATTCAAGAGAAAGCAGCAGGTAAAACAAGCTGTACCAAAAAGAGCCCAGATTTATCTGCGTAACAGCATCTACAAAAAGGGGCTCTTTCTGGCACAGATCAATCATGCAGGAATTGTAATTCCTGGGCAGTAGAACTGAGCAGGTACTGGCCTGCAACCTCAACAAGGCTTGCATCAGCAAGTTTTATTGGGAAAAGTTGAATTTTAGTTCAAGTACTCTCTCGTACACAGATTTGTTTGTCTTCTTTTTCTTTTAATACATTTTTCCTCCTGAACTAAACAAGTATGTTTGGATTGTTTTGTTTATTCTAGCTTTAAAGTACTTCCCTTGTGAATCCTTGTTTCTGCACAACTCTGAAGTTTTTAGAAAATAACCATAAATTATTTTGGTCAAAATACCCCTTGGTGTAGTGAAAGTCTCCAGGTATTTCAGGATTATTTGTTTTATTTGCTTTTGTACGGACACACTGTAAACCAGAGAAATAAGCTAGAGTAGTCAGATCTGGGGTCAAACAAACAGATTCCTATGGCTCTCTTGTCATCCATCTGCTTTTCGGAACACCACTTCAAGCTGCAGTCTAGCAGCTAGGAGGGAAAACTGCTGATGGCTGCACTCCTGCTAGTCATTATTTTGAACACACTGCTCTGCATCTCCTGGCAGTAAGGCAGCTCAGATGGCAACGAGTGACTTGGGAGAAAGCCAGTTATACAACATGGAAACTAGTAAAAGTGGAAAACACAGGAATCATGCATTTTGCTTCTTTGAAGCACCTACAGATTTAGCAATCATGGTCCATACGATGGGACGTGATGATGCTCAACTGAACTGGAGGCTGCTCTTCAAGATGCAGACAGCATTATAGAGCTACTCTAGGTCCAAGATACAGCTGTACAAAAGCAATGCAACTGTAACCGAAGAAGAAAGTGAAGCAGATGTGATCTCAGTAATGATTCTGGAAGAAGGGAATATTGTTTATGGGGAATCACAACTTAATTCATATAATCTGCCAGATGAAAATAATAATGCTTTATAAAACACCAGGGCAGCACACAGGCCAAAGAATTAGAATGGTTCCAGTTGAAAGGGACCTACAACAATCACCTAGTCCAACTGCAATTGTGGATGGTGGAGGAAGACACAAACCACTTCATACCGTCCCAAACTGTGTTTAATTCAACTCACCCAAGCAAAATTCTGAGTTCTGTTTAATATCACAGTATACGCTAAGTTTCTGAAAGGCTTGACACCAGCAATGACACTCTCAAGTTAGGTTCTCTTATTTTGTAAATTTAGTGGTATGTAAATTCTTATTTTTGTTTCAGAGGCCTTTCTAGTCATAAAATTACATCTCCAACATTTCATTAAAAAGAAAAAAAGCACACATTTATTACTCAGCATCCCAAGTTTATATCTGAGCAACAAGACATAGATTAGTATTTAAAATTACCATCTACACTTCAGTTTCTATTAGCCGAGTATAATAAATTGCGATTATTTTTTTCATTACATCTTCTTGCTACAAGACAGCAAATTTTAATCTTCACATCAGGTCCCTATTTATTGGGCAACAAATGGGAAAACTTATTTTTTTTTATTAAGACAAACTGCCTCTCTGATGAGTGAACTATTTCAATTTCCCTCTCAAGCTACCGAAAAATAAAAAAAATTCTTATGCAGACATTTACAGATAAACATAACATGAAAAAGTAATAACTAACACATCAAACAGATGGCTTGGTTATTGTCAGCTGCTGGTTAAATATCTGACAGGGCTACAAGAGAATTATTCTGCCAACCCCACAAGAGTCACATTTCTCCATGGCTTTGGAATGTTTGAAGTTTTTAACCTGAGATGCTTCATTTGGGCATACTGACTTTTGGACCTACTCTGATATTACCAAGAGTCTCTGTTGTTTGTTTTTTTTTTTACTAATCAGCTTCAAAATATACATACAGAAAATTAAAAAACATACCTATCAGCAAAACTGGATTCAGTAGTGTGGCACAAATAGAAGGGGACTGTTTTTCTGCTTTTTTATTGCTAATAGTGATTAATGCAGTGGTAACGGTGGTGCTGAAAACTGCCCTGGCTCTTGTGTTTTATATTGTATGATGTCTTATTCTTAAAAAAAAAAAAAATCCTTATTTTCCCCCTCATTTTTTCTCATTTAGAAAATTAGTAAAGTGTGCACAAGCACCTTCAAGTGACATAATCACCTGTTTATGTTATTCTACTGAACAAACACAAAACAGAAATGCTTCATTAACCAACATCTAACAGTCCAAGCTGCTTCTGTGCCGGTATGTTTTGAGGAAACTATTGGCCAATACTGTTTTTTTAAAAATTGTTGTCTTAACATTATCCATGAAGCTTATGATAGTAACAATTGATTCATATATTTAATAGAAAGAAAACCCACCTCTAGGACAGATTATGAAGAAAAATTTCTCTTCACCATATGTCCTATATACATTTTTGGTGGACTCTTTGGAAAATAAGGCTGTATAGCTTCAAAAATACAGTTTACCGCCAAATTTTTGTAATCTGATTATAAAGAAATTTGTGTCAAGAGTATTCATCATCTTTGACACAACCACAGAAATACATTTACTATGTCATAACAACTTGTCACTGAGGTTACTTATTTTTCTGTCCCGCTCTAGGGGATGATTCTGCTTTCCAATAACTAACTTAAATATAAACTAAACATTATTTGTAGCATACTCCCTCTCTTTGCACAATCTGTTATTTTAAGTATTTCCAATGCGTTGTTCAGGGTTTACGTTCAACATCTCTGGAATTCTTCCAGTAAGGTAGCTACCATTTCTCTCTATTTCTTAGAAGTCAACTTTTTCAACCCAATTTGCCTTACATTGGATCCTGACAGCTAGGGCACTGTGACTTTTGATTTAATGGACACTGCTAAAACAGTTCTGTGACTTCAGTGCTCAAACCTTTCACAAGTCTAACAATAAGACACATTTTGGAGAGCGGTGCAGCTAGGCACACGTCACGCAGTACATAAAATCAGAGTAAGTTAGGCACTCGCATTTCTTCATTTCCTTTAAACATCAATACAACTTAAGAGGCGATTTATGAAAGGCAGCTGAGGGCATTATGAAGATGTGTATACCAGGGAGTAACTGAAGACAATACTGCACCAGTCTGCAGTGCATCATCTATTTTGTTAATGATTCAGGAACAGTGAAATCAACGGAGAAACAATCATCAGGTAATCTGCATCTTCTTTTTTTAAATAATAACTTAAGAAATTCAGGCAGACAAGAATTCATCATAGGTGATAGGGAATCCTGATACGTTAACATGCATCCCAAGTTCCAGAGCTTTTCTATACCTTTTTTCATGTCTTTTCTGCAGTTAGGGAAACCAGCAAAGAACCACTCTGAAATAATTCACTACAAGATATATGTTGTATCACTAGAACAGTTCTCTATTCAAGATTCAAATTCTTTACTAAAAAGAAAAAAAACTCTACCAACCCCTCCACGCCACCCTAAATCTGTCGCCTGAATATTCTGCTATATAGTTTTCTCTGTTCTTGACATTTAGCCTCCGAACAGGTAATACAGTAGCTCACACCTATGGCTGGAGGGATCAAATTAAACACGTGCCCTCACACCATTTCCTCGCAAGCCACTTGCACCAGCTAGTAATCAGCTCCATTGCAGAGAGTGTCAAGACGTCCTGAGGGTTGGGTGCTCATAGCTATTCTGAAGCTTACTTGCAAGAGAAGCAAATAGATTTCAAAGGCCAAGCAAGACACTTATTTCAGAAGCAAGACATAACACCTTTCCAGAGGAGTTAGCAAGAACACTGGAACAGCACAGAGTTCTAAGTCTTGGTTTCTGTGGAAAACAGATGAGAATAACCTAAATAAAACTCCAAACTAAAAAGAAACAGTATTCAGAGTAAATTCTTACAACCAATGCAAACCAATTCTAGCTTAATCTTTCCTGGCTTATGTGCTATTTATCACCAACTCTCATTCTTAGAATATATCACATTTGAAAAATAAAACTGATGAACAAGTTCAAAAAAGACTACAAGAACAGATATGCAGAACTACGCCCAGTCATACAATGAACCCAAACATTTCAAAAAAATCTTTTGAGAAGACATAACAGAATGTTTGACAGGTCTTTTATGGAAGCTTTAGTCTTACAGACAATAATTTCCTACTTTCAATTGGGTTTAGTATGTTTCTGAACATACTGTATTATTTGATGTATGTACATTCAGCTGTTTAGGACACTTTATCCTGATAATTTTGCAAATTCAGTCTGGTTTTACCTAAGATGATCCACATGGATGTGGAATCTTGCCAAGGCTGTTGCTACTTCTGTTACGTGATGACCGTGGTTAATTGACAGCACTGCCATCAAAAACATCCTTTTCTTGTCAAACTTAATTTGGATCTGAATATTGACATACAAGTTATGCTCAGTGCATCTGACCAACTTGCTGTCTTTCTTCATCGCCTTCTGGGAAGTCGTGTCACCTCCTGCCACTGTCATCTGCTACATCATTCCTTCCTCCACACCCACGTCACCTCGCTGACCACGTAACCACTGCCAATGTTCCTCCTCAACTATTTTCCACATCCTACAGAACTACGTCATGACAACTCCTTCCTCCTGTTGACATTCTTCATCATTAGCACGACACGGCTGCTATGTCACTTGTGGCCCTATATCGCACTCAAGAGTCACGCTACTCCATGTCACCCCTGCAGTGAGTTCCTGACAAGCCTGGCAGCCAGCAAAGCCACCTCCCACTGCTGCCATGTCCTGTGGGAAGGGGCCTCACTGGTGTCCCACCATGGAGGCCCTAACAGTCCGTCAGGCCCACGGGATGCTCTCCAGCCCAACGCGGAGGCTCCACAAGCAGCACCACGAACAAGAAGGCCCAAACCACATCCCCCAGAGCCAGCCACCCCCAGCCCAGCCCTCACCTTGACATGAGGCCCGTCCACCGCCTTGCTCGCCAGCCCCTCCACCAGGTCGCCCCTCAGCTCCACCAGGAAGCGCAGCCCGCCCTCCAGGCGGCCCAGGTGCTGGAACAGGCCCCGGTACTGCGGGTTGAGATAGTAACGGAGCCGGTCCTCGGCCTGCAGCAGGGCCCCCAGCTCCCTCTGCTGCTCCCGGGCCTGCAGCACCTTGGCGCTGAACTCCGCCACCCGCCCGTGGTCTACGCCGAAGTCGCGGGCCA